GCGCGACGATCGCACGGCTGCCATCCTTTCGTACGTCTCTCGCAGCACACCTCGGCAACGCGGCTTCTTCCTTGCAAGGTGCAACGCGCCGAAATCGCACGCACGCGACTGTGCGTGCGTCTCTTCTTATCGCGTCGAGATTCGGATTGCATTAAAAAAAAGAAACATGATCTCGTAGTCACATAGCGGAAATTATTTAGAAAATACACGGAAAAAAAGAATTGCTAATATATGGACAACTGAAAATAATAGCTGCAGGAGCAAATTTTCTTGTCGCTCTGCGTCGAGATTCGGATTGCATTAAAAAAAAGAAACATGATCTCGTAGTCACATAGCGGAAATTATTTAGAAAATACACGGAAAAAAAGATTTGCTAATATATGGACAATAATAGCTGAAAATAATAGCTGCAGGAGCAAATTTTCTTGCTTTCATAGCAAAGTTAGTTAGTTGGGATAGCTAAAAGATTTGCTAATATATATATTAGCTTTATTTGTAGTAATAATAATAATATATAACTTTGCTATGTAAGCAAGAAAATTTGTTCCTGCAGCTAATATTTTTGGTTGTTCATATATTAGCAAATCTTTTTTTCCGTGTACAAAAATAAATTGAGCAAAAATGTATCTTTAAAAAAATATTTAGAAAAATTGTATTCAGCAAAAATGTCTAAATACGGGAAATTATTCAAGAAAGATAAATGACTGGCAAACACTACGACATCGCATATGTTTTGTATTTTATTAATATAGATGATAGAGAGACAGAATTTGTATCTGAACTATTTATAAAATTTAGCACAAGAAAGTCCCTCTGTATGGAATCTCACCACCGGCGAGATTAATTTAATGAGCGACTCGTGCACTTGACGAGGATATCGACTGCACGGAGGTTAATTTCGTAATTAGTTGCTTGTGATCTGCACGGACTATTGGTTACCTAAAAGGCGACAACTTTGTTAATCGCGTAAGAATAATCGCTCTCGATTCTATCGGACATTGGCAGCTTGATGCTTTCGTCATTGTCGTATCTGTTAAAAGAGCCCGAATACGAATGAGGAATCACACATGACTCTGTAGTACTGTAGTTGACGTACGTTATCGTGCATCCCTTATCTTCCTCATGCGGAAGTATCTTTTTTTTCAAAGAAGGAGAGGAAGAGATAACGAGCGTAAAGTAACGGGGCTTACTGAGAACGGCATTATCATTCTTAGAAATTTCCTTTGGCTTTATCGGCAATTTATCGCTTTTTCGGCAATTGATTGGTACGCGCTCTTATTCATACGTAAATGCGTAGAAAGGCAGCTTACATTTTCGCTTCCATGAGAGCCCACCCCGACGGACGCATTATCTTTCTCTCCACACGAAGTAATTTACATGGGAGTCACTGAAATAGCACTATCAACAAATGAACGGGTATCAGGACAGAAATGGGATCTGTCCGTGAGAGACGACGCAATTTCGTCAGCGCGATACCGCATAATATTAACGCATCAGCGTTCCCGCTAAATCAATTATGCCGGTACATACCGTAGAGATTTCCCGCCACGTTTGCCCGGTATTCCCGTCACGCTTTTCCGAATCTATAACCCGAAGGTCGTATTATAATGTATTCGTTGTATGCGTGGCTGGCGACATCGTGGCGACGGACACGAATAACGCGACAGACGAACGGACAGACAGGCACCGTGCTGTATTTTTAGATCTCTAACGCGGCGGATCACGCTGCATTACGCCGCTGTGAGCTCGCTAAAGCGGATACATGAGTAATAACGTTAGAAAATGATTGCGTACTGTAGGAAAATATGACAATCTTGCGTGCGTATCCTATTGGTTAGAAAAATGATTATGTAAAACTGGGGTAAAAAAGAGACGCGAAATGTTGCGGATCATAGAAATCTGTCGATCTCGAGGATGACGGGATGCCGAAAGGAGTTATAGCGCACAGAATAACACCATATTTGTGTTTCTTTTGCGCTATTGTGCGATTAAAAGGGCAGATTTAGAGCACGCCCGATCAATCCCTCACAAGGGATTTTGACAAGGTGGATTTTAAAGGTTCAAAAGCGAAGTTAATGAGTATTAATGTCGAAGTAGGTTCTACCTAGACTATAAGCCGTCTAAGTAGACGCAGACTATCCTTAAGAGCGTCGAAGTAGCATCAAAATTTCGACTCGGGTTGCGCAATCACAGAAATGTGTGTCTGATGAAATCTGGAAACGCGCGAAATGCATTCGATTCATTTGCCCGGAGAGTCATCATCGTGTTGCGTAACAGTGCGCAATAACTCGATAGATGTCACCAAGTCGTTCGAGCGCTCATACCGAGCGTAATACCGCCGGTAATTCGCACTGGCAATGTGGAACACTTGTGGGGCTACATACACTTGCACGCGCGCGAATCGTCGTCGTCGCCGCCGCTGCCGCCGTCGTCGTCGTCGTCGTCGTCGTCGTCGTCGTTGATGTGTCGAGCACCGACTCGAAGAAAAAGCTCAATTTAGTTTACAGTGTCAATTGAATGAACAGACAGGGTACGTGATTTATTTTTAGATCCCGCATCATAGGGGACTCCGTTGCACCAAGCTGTTACGCGTGTGCTCGCTCATGCACGAACGCTCATCCGCACCGGCGAACGCGAACATGCACGTCACACGAGAGAGACACGCCTGCGATAGTTTTCATTTCCTACAGTTTTCAGGTCCTACGCAATAGAGACCGTACGGAAATATTTTCTCACGTACTCGTGTAACTGCTCCTCTCCCGGAAGTGTAGGAGTGTAGGAGGCGAGATGATGTTTTCATCAAGTTGCGAAATTAGCAGATCGCCAAGATCGATGAGTAGAATCGCTATGCGTTATCATTGAGCATCAGGCCGATGCAGCGTCCCGTCAGATCATCGCGGAATCCATTCGACGGGTCCAGTCTCGAAAGATGAGAGCGATAGATTGCATTTCCGCAAACTCTGCACCGGCTGCTGGAAACGCTTACGATTTGGCACGAACTCGCCTCGAGAGCCGAGGAATTCCAAAGAGGAATGGGATCGGCAAACTCGACTTTAGTAAGTAATAGAGGTTTAACCCTTTATAGCCGTGACCAGGGATTTACTCGATCCTCGAACGACGCCGCTCCAACTAATACGAGACTCTCGAGTAACTCGCTTATCTCGTAAAGATCGATAACCTATGCAGTTATTACGTAAGGGATTCCCGCTTTTGTTGATCCTCTCCCACCAACCACAAGAATCGATCAGATCGGACTTTTGGTCCGTTTCGAAATGACAAGCTTTACGATATTGGCGCACTGGAATATCCCCTCTGGCTTTAAGGTGCGACTGGGAAGGCTCTAAAAAAACAACCCGTGCGGCGCGTGAGTAAGCTGCGTTGTTTAAATGACTCGGCGTAATTTCTTAAACGACTGATTGTAATCTTAGTATCGTACTTTCACTATATATAAGTTCTCTCTCTCTCTCTCTCTCTCTCTCTCTCTCTCTCTCTCTCGCTCGCTCGCTCGCTCTCCCTTTCTCTCTCTCGTTCGCTCGCTCACTCGCCCTCTTCGAGTGTAAAGTTTTAATCTTCGTCTTATTCCGCATCGTTATTACCGACACCCCTTGGGCCATCCGCCTCAACCCTTCGAGTTAATGACCGCGAATGAAATCGGAGCGCTACGCTTACATCACGTCGCCCGTACGTATAACGACCTTAAATAAAGAGCGGTGACCTCGAGGGAAGGCGAGGGAGAGAGCGAGGGATTAGGTGGAACGAAGGAAGGAAGGAAGGAAAGAAGAAAGGAAGAGACGCGGTGGGTCCTGGTCCTTTCGCGACCGGGCGGGATCGATGGAGCGCGATCGAGGGGGTCCTCGAAGAAAGAGGATATCCGTCCTTCGACCTACATACCCACCGTGCAGCCGCATGCGCGCACATAAAAAGCCTGTCGACCTGTCGACTTCCGGTTTCCCAGTCGATGCAAGCAGAGCTTTAAGCTCGTGGGAGAAGCCTCGGGACTTTTTACGAGCGCGGTTTATGGAAGCGAGCCAGCTGGGCTCGCGATAAAGCCGCGTACCTCCGTACGCGAAGAGAGACACGCGGCCACATTTGCACGTATCGCCGTGCCAAAAACTTTCGTTTACGATCGCACCAAAATGTCGATCGATACCGAAATGTTACTGCCGGCTTCATCGTTTAGCGTATATTCGCATATCGGCGCATATTTACTCCCCCTCCTCCTCTCTCGCTCTCCCCCCCTCTCTCTCACTCACTGTCTCACTCTCATCGTTCGTCGTAATGAATCGAAACGACACTTACTGGACACGATGTCACTGCTCCGACGACAAATGCCCGATCGATGACTGCCATTGTGATGTAATGTGTGCCATCAAAGAGAGAAAAGAAATATCGTAAATTTTCTACAGCACGCTGAACGAAGGGAAAAGGTGAGAAGATAATCGAGACGAAGAAGGTCGTGCACAGATTCCTGAGAACGTTGAGTGACGCGAGGGAAGTTTTCCAACCGAACGCCTTTCGTTGCTTTTGTCTACTTTCTCGTAGAGAGAGCGAGAGAGAGAGAGCGAGAGAGAGAGAGAAAGAGAGAGGGGAGAGAATGAACGACCTCAAGTCCCGCATTCGTGGGAGCTCCCGTTCGAGTGGGCGGTGAATGGTTATATCCTTTGGTGTGTTGGTGGAGGCCGCACGACGACCTTTCAACCGCACCCAGCTTGAGCCGCTGTCGGAACCCACCGTAGCGAAATTCTGACGACGTTAGCGGTTAGATGACGCGGGCAGAACGCAGAATAATAGAAACGCGTCGTTTACGCGCGCGTCACTTTCCCGCGTGTTAAAAGATACCACTGCGGCCGAAGGTCGTTTATCGCGCCCGCTGTTGTGCGCGATTAATCGAGCACAGGCCGACGACTATCGCCCCGTCGACAGTGCGAAGAAAAAATCCCTCGCCGGAGCAAGAGCGACTGCGAATCTGAAATCGCCTGTGCTTATCGCGCGCGCCCGCGTACAGATAACCGGGAATGTGCGGTTGAAGCGTGCGCGTGTGTCTACGGAATATCGAGGAGATTAAACGAAGCGCGCGCGCGGACCAAATCGCGCGAATGCAACAGGCGCGCTCAAACTCTCGAGTGCGTCGAGAACGATCGCGCGCGTAGAAATACATTAATTATAATCCAAAACGACGAGTTGTTGCGAATAAATCCCAGCGAGACTTCGCTTGGCGCACTGCCGACTCCTCGGGATCTCGCATTCGGCGATCGTAAATTTCCTCGGATTTACTCAATTATTTACGACGGACTCGGCAGCTATTGACGGCAAACGCCACGCGTTCGTTTCGCAGCGGCGCGCTGCGGAGGCGTCGAGATGCGGGGGCGATTCGAAAGAGAGCCCGGCAGCGCGGCGTAGGGAGAGCAGAGAAACCAAAGGATAAGCTACATGAAACGGACTTTGATCTCTACCTGGAGGAGGAGAAGGGAAAACGAATTCAAAGTGAACGAGGAGGGAGGCACGTAAGTTTGCAGGTGTTATCAGTTATCGACGCGCGACGAAAAGGCGTTGTGTATAACACAATAAAGAGGAAACTATCTCTCCGTTCTCGCGCGTAATACGTTCTCTCGATGCTGAAATAATGCTCAATAATGCGAAACATCGACGGATCTCCGAGTGGCGAAATGTCTGAAATGTGAACCGAGCGACACGGCGGCGTCTTCGAGAATAGATGGAATCCGCGCGTCAGCGGCTGCCAAGTCGAGAGAGAGAGAGAGAGAGAGAGAGAAAGAATTTACGTTCTGGCTACGTACACTCTCAATTAATAGCGTCATTTCGGAATCTCTGACAGGCGGCCGGAACGCGATCTCTCCGGACAGATCTTGCGTTCATTTAGCCGAATGATCTGTCTCAGATGGAGGTAACTCGAACGTCGTTTTCCTCGAAACTACTGTTTGTACAGTCTCCACTATTCTACACCTAAACAGATACTTATACCGGAGCCAACCGAGTGTTTCAAGAGCTCCTTTAGAGGATCCTCTCTCAGCAAATGACACTTTTGCTTGCGCGCTGGATGCCATTATTCGCGATAACGCGATCGAAAATAGTCGCGGCTCACCGAGCGGTATATTATCGACGCGAACGGCATCGAGGGAGAGGGAGAGAATGAGAGAGCAGAGGAGACAGGTTCCAGTGGTCTGCCGGCGCAGCAGGGGGACACCGGTTTTCTCCGCGTGTATGTGTGTGTGTGTGTGTGTGTGTGTGTGTTATCAGCGCTGGCTCTGCGAGACGGGTTAACTATCGGGACGGACGTTTTGTCGGGAGGGAAAAGCCCCTTCCTCGATTAGATCGCCCGCGCGCGGACGAATTATGCAAATCACGGAACTGGCCTCGGTAATCTCGCGCGGCATTATCGCGCGAGCTCGGCGGCTTTTTAATCGATTTTAGAATAAATCGACCGATTAACGGGAGATAGCGGAGGCGCGTCAAAGAGTTAATTGAATCGCACGGAATTTATCGACCGATCCCCGATCGGTTTTACTTTAATCAGCGAAATGCACAGAAAGGTGTGCTTAGGCATCCAATTGACAAACGTCCGATTAGAACGGAACATTTTTGTCACATCGATATACACAACGCGTCCACGATTAATCTTTTATCTGCGCGCTAGAGTATTATCGTAACCGGATTCCAAGTGTGTAAGAAACAAAGACCGTATTCCGGCCTAACCGACTCCTAATTTGATTTTAATAACAAAAACAAATGGAAGTTATGATGGGATTGGGCTAAAGATCATCTTGGCTGATGACTATAAAAAGAGAGAAGACTGGAGACTCGGGGCAGTCCGGGAATATTATTAAGAGTATAAGATTAGCCCATTGTTAGGAGGTTTTGGCCTATTAGGCATTTGTTCAGTTAATTCTGTATTAGGCATTTTTTGTTAATTCTTGTGAAAAGTTTATATTGATTAATTAGTTTGCTGCGGTTAGAATATTCATAATTTTGCTAGAGAATTGGTTATAATTTTATCAAATATAGTTATTATCATCTAGTTAAATCCGAATGTTTATTAAACTCTCTGATAATTAATTAGCAACATAAAGAAAATAATTCGTCTGGAGAAGATCACAAGTGTTAATTAACAACGCCGTTCTCAACGTGTCGTCACAAACGTTTCCGCCCTAAACCCCCGAAAAAGTGCGAGGGTGAACGCACCGATGAAGAGTGAATAGCTTGCGACGGAAAAACCGCGCTTCTACAGCGTAGAGAGCGTTGTTAGGGTCCCGTGTCTCTCGCGTAGGTGTGTAAGTGCAGGACGGAGCGCGCCAGACGACCGGCGCCACGAGGAATCCCCACGCGCACACCTGAATGCCGACACCGAATGGGGAACTGCTTGCGTAAGAGAGTCCGGCGAGAGAACGATCGTCGCGACGAATCATTCCAAGATTTCCGCGCAGCTCGCCAACTCGGCGGAACTCGGCGCGAGCTCTCTCAGCCGGGAAAAGGGGGAAACTCGGACAAATATCTCAACGATAATTACTCGCGCAAGGTTCGCGTCGGGCCGCTGCACCGTGCGTGATGCTAAACCGTGCATCGACGACGCACGTTGTTGTTGCCCAAACGTGGCGTCGATCGCCAGACTCGGGCGTGACAAAGCGTGAATTACGCGACAGGACCGTTGCATACATTACGCGTCCCGTCGCCGCCGATTCGCCCATTAGCTCGTCGTCGAAACATAAATAAACGGGACGGAGCCGGACGCGTCGGATGCGCGCGGCCTTCGCGAGAGAAAGAGAGAGAGAGAGAGAGAGAGAGAGAGAGAGAGAGAGAGAGAGAGAGAGAGAGAGAGA